TTTGACAAACTCAAATAGAAACTTTGGGCTTGTAAGTATCAACCTATAATGACTGAAAATAACACAACTTCTGAATTATGGTATCTAAAGAGATGTAGAGACTGTCATGTTAGGAGAAGACGAAGATGAAGAAAAAGAAAAGCGCCTTGGAGACCATAGCATTATTTATTCATTGATTCACTGAACATAGAAAATGTTCTAGTTCATCAAAAAAAAATTAAAAATCACTGATATTTTTCATAYATAAAACAACTCTGTGAAACACATACTGCCAAAAGTGCTATCATATCATAGATCAACTGTAACCTGAAYGGCCAGCTCCAACCCCTCCAGACTCCTGTATCTAGCTGTCTGTCTGGTGTCTCCACCTGATCAACTAACAGGTGTCTCAGACAAGAGCCCTGAGTGTCCCTTTTCCCTCAGTCACCTCTGTAAACAGCATGGCCTGTGTTTCTCAGGCTATCCTTGACCCTTCCCTGTCCTTGGCTCCAGACATCAAATTCTGTCAACTTCAAAACAGACCCAGAATTCTCCTGCTTCTCACAGTCTGACTGCCAGACACCTGCACTCTTCACCCGGCTGCTGCACGGGCTACCYCAAGGCTCTGCCTCTTGTGCTCCTGCCACCTGTCACTTCCAGTTTACTCTCCACAGCACAGCCAAAGCAATCCTTCTAAGTATGTTTAAACTCTGTTTAAAACCTACTGAGGGGCTGAGGATGTGGCTCAAGCGGTAGCACACTCGCCTGGCATACATGGGGCGCTGGGTTCGATCCTCAGCACAACATAAAAATAAAGATGTTATGTTCACCGAAAACTAAAAAATAAATATTAAAAAATTCTCTCTTTCTCTCTCTCTTTAAAAAAAAAAAAAAAAAACAACCTACTGAGCATTGAGCATGACTACAAGTTTCAGCATGACACAACCTCTGGTTCCCATGTCACTGAAGGCCTCCGTCCCCSTTTCCCACTCTGCCACTGGAAACGCCTTGGGAAGCTCCAAGCATGTCTTGTTTCAGAGCCTTGCACAGGGGGCTCCCTCTTCCTAGAACACTCCTTAGAGATCTACAGGATGCAACCTCCCACTTTAGACTTATGCTCAAATCTCAGTGTCTTGTAAGAAGCCTCTGACACCCTGTCTAAAATAACCACCCTTCCTTCTCCCTGCCACTCATATCCCCTTACCTGAGAGATTTTTCTTCACAGAACTTATTACTACTTGACATAATAGCACTTCTATTTCATCACAATTTCATTTCTTCTATCCCACTCTAGAAGGCAATGATAATGATAACTAAAYAAGCACTAAATGATGACTAAACCAGGTAACCTCACAGCAGATCAACAAGGTAACTATCATCACCATCCCCACTTCACAAATGAGAAAACCGAGACACAGAGATGTGGGATAATGTGTACACAAATACTAGGTCACAGAGCCATAGGTGGCTAAGCTGGATTCAACCCTGGCAGGCAGTTTCCCAAAGTACTCATAACATCTGCACTCTGCTGCCTCAATGAAAGGTACAAAGCAGAGCCTTGTATCTTTTGCTGCAGTTATAGTACGTAAAACAGTGCTTGATGCAAAGCAAACTATCAAAAAATATTTGTGGAAGGAAGAAAGCAAGATAAAAAGGAGAAAGAGCAAACCTAGAGCTACTGATAACCTGCCCTGGTTTCATAGCTGGGAACCCGCACAGCCTGCACTTGGACAGCTCCTCCTGGCTCTTCCCTCTCTGCATACCTTCTCTCACATGGTCTCCACAACCCAGGTCAGACAGAAACTACGAGGATCTGCACTTTTACAGATGGCAGTAATGGGTTCAGGAAGGCTGAGTGACTTTCCCAAGGGYACAGGCTGTCCAGCTACTGACTCCCCTGGAACAAATCCACGTCCTGGTCCTGAAGTTGATGTTCTTCCCACACATGCTGCCTCCTGAAGATAAAGAATGCTACCAGCTCATTGACTCAACCCATTTGCATGTGGATGATATAAAAGTGAGTGTATTTTTTGCATGATATGTAGCAAAAGGAGCTTTTACTAAAAACTTCCTTTTGTTTCCAGACATTAGAATCTTAACTCAGAAAAACACCAATACTCCTTGTAGGTAGGGACTAAGTCCTGAAAAGGAGTACAGTCGGGTTCCTTCTAATACATCCATGCTTTCTTTCCTCTACCAAGAAACAGCAAAGTTGAAAATGGTAACAATCTTCATAACACTTGTCTTTGGATATATGAAATGTTTAAACACCCCCCCCCCACACACACACATACAAACATAGAGAGAGTAAACAAAAAAAATCACAAAAAAGCAACCCAAGCAACAAAGAACCAAAATCCAGAGCAATTTTTGAAATACATTTGTTTGAAATAAATTAGTTGGAACATTTCCATGGCAACAGCAGGATGATATAGTTACCTGCTACTTTTAATATTTAGCACATCCTCCTTAGGAAATGACGATTGTAACCAAAAGGTTTTATGGTATTAYAAACACAAAACAGTTTCTAAAGGGAACTGACACTTGCAGCTTGCACAATTTTTATTGAATATACGCCAAAAGAGCAAACAGGCCACAAATAATCAGTTGTTCAACCTAGAAAATATTGAGCCCTTGAGAAGATCTAGAGGGCTAACAAAAGCTGGGCTCAGGCCTTTAGCAAATACACAAAGAGTAGGTAACATGCTTAGAGTTATACAGCTAATTTGATCGAAGCTGGAATTTTAATCTGGCCAGAATATGTGTGTCACTTTTCCATAATGTACATAGATGGCAAAGTTACTGACCTATGATGTATCAACTGAGATGATATTTTTAAGGGAGGCGTCTAAAGGAGTGTGTCAAGTCTGCAGTACATTCTGTAYAGTGAAGGAAACTCAACAGAGTGAAGATACAACCTACAGAATGGGAGAAAATATTTGCAAACTATACAACTGACAAATAGTTGATATCCCAAATATATAAAGAATATCAAAAATTTAACAACAAAACACATCCTAATTCTGAAAAATGGAAAATAGATCTAAATGCACATTTTTCAAAAGAAGACATAAAAATGGCCAACTCACACATGAAAAAGGCTCAACATGACTAATTACTGGGGAAAGGCAAATCAAAGTCACACGAGATATCAACTCACCCTAGTAACAGAGGCAAACACCAAACAAACTAAAGACAGCCCGTGCAGGCGAAGATGTGGAGAACAGGCACCTTGCACACTGCTGGAGGGAATGTACATTAGCACTGTCACTGTGGAAAACAGCATGGAGCTTCCTCGAAAAGTTAAGACAGGACTACCATCTGACCCAGCAGTCCCACTACTGGGCATCGGCCCAAAGGAAAAGAAATCGGCACCTTGAAGAGACATCTGCACCCCACATTCACTGCAGCTCTATTTGCAATAGGTACAACCTAAGCATCCATTAACTGAGGAATGGACAACATGGCACAAATGAAACCCTACCGTTTGTGGCAACATGGATGGAAGTGGAGTCACTGTGCTAAGTGACGCAACCCAGGCACAGAAGGATGGTATCCCGTGATCCCACTCACACGTACAATCCACAAAGTTCATCTCAGAACAGCTGGGCTATCAGAGAATGGGACAGTGTATGGGGAAAATGTGATCAAAGTACTGAGTTACTCAGGAGCAAGAAGCTCTGTGGTGCTCTTGTACAGAAAGGTGGCTGATTTTGAAAGTTTTCACTACAAAGAATGAATAAATGTTTGAGAAGACAAATGTTTAACCTATTAAATATATGCAACATACCTGTATTGGACATTATAAGGTATTCCATTGATATATACAAATTTTATGGTTTTGTGTATCAGTTAAAATAAATTTTATTTAGTAGAATCTGCAGTAGCAACAGTAGTCATTTGATAAGTAAACTCCCTTCATCTAGTAAGTCCTGTAACACAGTGGTTATTGATCTGTTCCTAAATGCTAGAAAAGCTTAGGATTCTTCATTTATTCTACAATCATAAAGATTAATTACCTAGAAGATTAAAATGATAATTTAAAATATAAAGAAATCAACTAAGGAGCTCATTAAATTTTAGATATTATAATTTTACCTCACCATGTTAGGGGTAAGAAGGACAATGACCAATGACACAACTAAAAAAAGCACTACATAAGAGATAAAAAGATGTGTGAGTCAAAAGAATATAAAACATGTACTGCTGAGAACACGGTTATTTAGAATCCTAAATGTTCTGATGCACCACCAGGTCATGGCTTTGTGGCCACACTTTGCTCCAAGTTCTACCTTGCACAGACAAATTGATGGAATTTAGTAGCAAGAGATATGAGAGCTATGTACTAAAAAGGGGAAAACAAAGATCTTCTAATCATGAATGTTGGCAGTGACATCTTAGTAGCAATTAGGTTTTGATAAAACCTACAGTGTTCTGTTTTACAGAAACTGTACTAAGTGAAGCCTGCAGCTTAAAAATCACCATCTGAATAAAGCCATTGTAACTAAAGTTGGCTCATTTTCCCTATAAGCCAAGGTCCACCAAGACTAAGAAAAGATATTCCCATTTCAAATGAAAAACATAAACATACAATGTAAAGTCAAGAATGACAACTAATAAGAAAGTACATTTATGGGGCTTTGAACTTCCACCAAATTAGGAGATACTTATAGTATCTGTGTATTCTAAAATTTAATGTTGTGAATCTACAAATAAATCACAAAAAATTTCCTATAGCATTCTTAATTCAGCATTTTAATCTCTATTTAAGGCTTCAGTTTTCATTCGGTTTTCAACAAAACACCAATAGATAAAAACTCAGGCTTAAAAAATTTTAACACATTTCAACAAGAACAAGTGAATTCCACTTCWATTGTGAATAAGATTATCTGAAGAGGGCCAGAACTGGGAATTATGATAGAGAAGAAACTTTGATGTTTAAACAAAAAATTAGAGAAGGAAAATCCAGTTACTTTTTAGCTTTGAATGCTCTGTCAAACAGGAGAGAAGAAAAGTGATACCTGTACTTACTGTCGTTGGATCCCATGCTAATGAGGTCATCAGAATCAACATTGTGGACTATCGCTGCTTTGTATCCTGCTCTTTGTGCATTTAACACCTGCAAATCAGAAAACACTGGTGTGATGAGGTGGAATGTCCCTCAACTTCAATAAATATTAATAAATCTATTATATATCTAGAATTAAATTATGTACATGTGTAGGAATAAATCTCAGGTGTTCTTGAAGATAACAGATGCTCCAATTGATATCCAAGGACTTCTTAAGGTATATTCCTGATGGTTGTAAGTGAAATCAGAAGCAAATAAAGGATAGGGATATAAGCTCAATTGCTAAATGGATCTGAAGCAATAAACATGTAGTTCTGAAAAAGAGACTGATGCTAGGGCCTTAGGTATCATCAGACTGTGGGCTTTCAAATCCTGTCTCCTCCACTTATTAGTAGAATAAACTCAGGGAAATTATGTTTGATTTCTTTTTTAATCTTCAGTTTACTAATCTTTAAGATTGGAATGGGGCTGGGGATGTGGCTCAAGCGGTACCACGCTTGCCTGGCATGCGTGGGTCACTGGGTTTGATCCTCAGTACCACATAAAAATAAAATAAAGATGTTGTGTCCACCGAAAACTAAAAATAAATATTAAAAAATTCTCTCTCTCACTCTCTATCTCTCTTTAGAAAAAAAAAAAGAAGAAAAAAATTGGAATGGCAATGTCTTTTTCATTCATAAAATAATACTTTAAAAATGCTTAATTACTACCACGCCTAACACATAGAAATGAGTCAAATAAAATCAATTTCTTACCATTAGCTTAATCATCAACAATATTACTTCAAATTCCTTTTGAAAGCGTTGAAAAATTAACATTACCTCCAGTCTGAAGTTACTTACTGCTTCTATATAGCTATTAAATCTTTCTTAAAGCTATCTTCCAAAATAGTAACCTTTGCCCCTTAAGAATATCACTGCAGAATCTTCTTCTTCTTCTTCTTCTTCTTCTTCTTTGGATAAAGTATCCAAACATACTGTTACATTTCACTTGTAAAACAATAATCTGTTGCAAATAAAAATGAATCCACAGCTAAACTACTATTGTATGACCCTTAGGCTAGTGGTAAAAATTAAGGATCAGATCATTATGTCCATATTGGTTAAATAAACACTCATAAACACAAATGTATATATCTTAAGTACTTGAAATGCTTTTGGAGATTTTTTGAATACATGTTTTAAAACATAGTTGTATATAAAACTAGAAYAAAACCATAAACACTTATGTATAATATAAAACTTAATGTATAGTTATTAAACACTTAATAGGAACTCTTGAAATATATCACTTTAAATGGTTGTTAGAGTAATGTGTCTCTCAAAATGTTTTCTGTGTACTTGTTTTTAAGAAACAGGCAAATTAATTTTTAAAAAGAACTTCCATGTCTAATATTAGTTCCACTTTAGTTATCAACATTAAAATTATTCAAAATTCTATTACGATTGAATAAAAACAAAATCTAAATCAAGTTCCAAGGAGTCAAGTTCCCAAGAGTAATAGGATGTGTCATTATTCTGACAGACCCGGGTTCTGAAGCATAGGCAAGAAATGAGGTCCTGTTCTCCGGCCCGCAGGCAAGTGGACTTCACAGAGGTAAAACTCTCTCCTGCAGTACCCTTGCCTTCTCTGGAACGACCCCACCAGTGCAAGTTGGATTTTTGAAAGAGAGCAGTGTGGACAAATCAGAATAATTTTATCCTATTCCTGAAAATAACTGAATCTCTATGAAATATGAATATCTCACGAAATTAATATTTTGCTCAGCTTTACAGCCTCCACAGCACCTATGAAGTAGCCTACAGAGGAGGAACTCACTATATAAATACCAGTTGAATAAGTCAATGAATAAATTTTTTGTTCAAATTGACAGCTCACAATATAACATCACAAACCTAAGTGATAAAATTGGGCATAAAAAGATCTTTAAAAACTAAAATAATTAGTTTGTTGATGCAGGACTTACTCCTGTTAGGAATAACAGTCAGAAGACAATAAAACTGTCACAAGGAGTGTTGTATAGTCATGCAAGAGAATGTCAATAATCAAGAGCATAAGTTTACTATTTTCTGCAGATAAGTGCATGTTTTTTTAAGATGGATTTTATTATTCAATATAAATTGATAAAATGTCACTCCCCATAGCCTCTTCATTACCATATTCTAAAAAGAGAAAATTAAATCTCTTACAGATATTCTAATTGTTAACCCCTACTTATCATATATATTAACTTTACCATAGCAGTGAAGACTTCACTTAGCTTTTACTTGTGCCTGGTTGGGGTTCCTATGAGCTTTTCTGATGTTTTAATGACCGTTTTAACAATTTCCAAAAATCTAACCATGTAATTGAGGAGAAATGTTTCTTCCCACATTCAAAAGGGCCTTTTGCCACAAATAACAATTTGAGAAATAATTAGAACAATATCAAAAGCTAAAGTTTTAAATCTCCTTTTAGAGCCAACACATATAATAACTGAAATCACACAATTTAACTTTCTTTCCTCTGCCGAAGTACATACATGAGAGCAAAGGTGTACCATGTAAAGACACAGTGTGTGGTCTCAGGAACGACAGTAAAGAGCAACCCTGCAGTGCAATTCTGGAGTGTCCACTGAGTGTCCATACCAAGCAGGCAGAGYGTGTGCCAGGCAGAGCACAGGACCAGGTCAACAGACGGTGCGCTCTAGTTTCTAAGGGTTTGCTCAGACTTCTGTCTCTGCTTGGAGCAGCCTTTGTCTTCTGGACGCCTATCGGGCCTTCAGGGACCGGCACTTCTATGAAACCGCTGTCCCATTCCATGTGCCACATGCTGTGTCACCCACATTCATGGTCCCCCCACCCAGGAGTACTTATGCTCTGTTTTCAAGACCTCACACAGGGTCATGCATTGTATTTATGCATACCTGTACCATCCCCTATCCAAAACAGGTCTGCAGAAGGTCCTGCGAGTCTCCTGCAGAGGTCAGAGTATGAAGTCTCTGGTGAGAAGAGACAAAGCATCATCAATTCTGTACGATGCTTTCTCACTCCCAAATTATCAAGATCCACCAGGGCACGAGAATGGATGCCTAACATGCTGAATGTGTGACCAAGTCTCACCACGAGGTTCTTAAAACTATGCCAAGCAACCAAGGAGGAATGTCCCTTCTCACTCCAAAATGTAACTGTTTACATAAATACAATATAAAATCATATCACTAATGGAAAGAATTTTGTAAGCTTTAAATGTRAACTCCAAAATAAGAGAAGCATGTTCCAAAAATTTAACAAGCATGATTTTCCCAAGGTTTTTGTTGTTGTTGTTATTGATTTTTTAAAATAAAGAAATAAAACTAAATCAAGGAACACATTAACATATGGACCAACAGGCTTATGAATACAAACAAGGAAAATATATTCATGTTTAGGAACTATAAACTCATGTGTCACTCAAATTAAATTACATTTTCAACTAAGCAGCAGCTGGTATTTTTAAGAACACATGAAGCAGAAGTAAAACCTAAATCATTTAGTAATCATGTGCAAGGATTCACATTCATAAAATGCAATCTCAAACACATGGTGTCAGATGGAAGCAAAGAGCTCAAAGATTCATGAATAAAAAGCATGCATGGTGAACAAAAACCTAAGTCCAGAAGAGCCATCAAAACTGCACTAGAAAGCTCTCTGAACTGTACTGCCAATCTGCCTTTTAAAAGAGACTGATCAGAGTTATTAGTTCAACTGCAGTAAATTCACTGAATATTTTACATTTAATCAACAAATTAGATACAAATAAATTTTGAGGACCAGGTGGCCCCTAACCAAGAGCTTGACAGAAATAAGGGACTGTTGGCTTGTTATTACAAATAGCTAATATGTCAGAAGATAGCAGATTGCTAAAGGAAAAGTTGTCAATAAGACAGGTTCTAAAATAAAACCTGGAAATGTCATAAGAGTTCCTTTTATCTTTCGTTTGGACAAATTAATACTATTGACTCTAGTAGAAACATCTTATAAAAAAGAAAGAAATGACTGTGCTGTCACAATGATCATGAGCAGAGATCTTTTCAGGACACACAGGAATGAGGAGTTGGGGAAACCACTGACAGAACATATATACAGGCTCCAGAACAACTACCACAGGAGACCTGTATTTACTTACTGTCTCCAGTATTCAACACAAGCCTACAAGGCAGACAGTCTTTTCTGTATTTTAGAAACAAGGACAGACAGGTAAACAGAGCTACCCGAGGTCACACAGAGCTCAGATCTGAAGTACAGGTGCTTTGTTTTGGATCTTGAAGGTACTTCTAAGGTCCACGTTTTAAGGCTCTGATCTTTAGCTTGGCTGTATTAGTCATCTTTTCGTCACTGTGACCACAATATCCAACAAGAACAACTCAGAGGAGTGCMTGGTCAGACAACTCCACTGCAGAAACATCACAGCAGAAGGGTATGGTGGAGGAGAGCTGCTCAGCTCATGGTAACTGAGAAGCAGAGGAAGAGAAAAGATAAGCCCTTCCAGGGCTTGCACCCAGAGAGCTACTTCCTCCAACCAGGACCCACCTCCTCACAGTGTATTTACCTGTTAATGAATTAATCCATCAAATGGATCAACCCACTGATGAGGTCAGAGTCCTCAGGATCCAATCACTGCCTAAAAGCCCCACCTCTGAACCATGCTGCATTGGGGACCATTCTTTCAACACACAAGCTTGGGAATGGGGGTGGGGGGGACATTCCAGGTCCAACCACATATTGGCACTACTAGAAGAAAGCCTAAGGGCTGGGGCCTAAGAAGAGTTCTCAGGTCATTGGGGTAGGAGGTGTGCCCTCACAGAGAACGGTGGGTCTCTTTGTCCTCCTCTGCTCCCAGCCCCTGTGAGGGGAGCAGCTTGCTCTACTATGTGCTCCCACTACCCTCCACCTCCCCATCACAGGACCAAAGGTGGTGGGTCCAAGACGCTATGGCCACTCCCTGAAATCAGTGTTACTGTTGCTAATGAGGTGACACAGGAACAAAGGGACAGACTGGGAAGTTCCTTGAAGTCCACTCAGAAACTA